ACACTGATAAAACAGTATTTGTGTTATTCATTTAGTATTATTTTATTCATTAATAAAGTTGAATAAATAGGATATAATGAAAATAATATATAAATAATACAATAGATAATTAACACAAAGAAAGACACTAAAAATGAAGAATGCAGAAATAAAAGAGATAAGAATGAATGAAAATGAATGAAATAATGAAACATTCACAATAAAAGTATTAAATAACATTTAAAATATAAAATAATAATAAATAAATGGAAATATAAAATAAAGAAGAAATGGCTTATAAGTGAAAATAACTAAAATGAATAAAATAGAATGATGAAATGATAATAAACTTACAGAAAATGATAATAAATAAATGGAAATATTAATAAATTTCAATTAAATTTCAATTCAATTAATAAATATAATAAATAATAAAATCAATATACGATAAAATAATGTAATAATATCCATCATAAATACATTATAATACCATAATACTTAATATTACAAAATAACTTTGTTGACTGAATGTTTTATTTATATTGAAAGAATGAAATAAACTAAAGTTTATTTAAAAAAAAACTATTTAACTTAACTTTCAACTTGAATATTAAGTCGTTGTAAAAGATGTTTTGAATATGAAACTCTTCTTAACGATGAAACATTTGGAAGAATATTTTGTTCAATAAATTTAGAGCGTTGATCATCATCCATTACTTCGACTAGTGTTTGAATAACATAATTAGCATAAGGATCTTTCATTAATTTGAGAAGCATTTCATTATCTTTTTTAGAACAAATTTCATCAATAAAATTATCACGTTGAGCAGAAGTACAACAATGAACACATTTTTCTACAACATTACTCGAATATTTTTTCATTGAATACTCACAGAATTTACCTTTCATTTCTGAAATAACTAAATTGTGTTGTTGTTGATTTCCATTTTCTAAAAGATGTTGAATAACATAATTACCATATTGATTTACAGCTAAATCCCAAATATTATTTTTTAATTCGGATGTAATAACATTTTGTATTAATGGTTCTTTACGTTCAATTAATTTTTGAACAACACGACAACCATATGCATGTTTACTAAATGATATTATATATCCATTAATTTCATTAGCAATAAGTGATGAATATGTTGATGGCATAAATTCTATAA